TGGGAAAGATAACCTCTGTTTGAACTCTGAGCCTCAGATCGCTCTGCTATTAGTCTGAGGAAACAGACAGCAACATCGCTGATTACAGCCACCGGCCTCAACAATTTTTTTTTCTAACTAGCAATTTCGAGCGCAAGTGCCACAGTGTCAAGCTAAAGAAACGCAGTTGCGGGTTTTCTGCAGAGCGAAATGGTTCTGAAATGTCACTGAATAGCTCACAAAGGACGCCAATCTCCGACAACAGAGACATAAGCATGTAGGAGAAAGGGCCCACACTACCCTCCCCTTCACAGGTATGTTGTTTACATGCATGCGATTTGGGAGAGCCGCAGCTGCTGAATGCACGATTTTCACAGAAGTCTCAAGCAACATCTCTTTAGAAAGCCATGGCCAGACCCTCCCAAGTCTTCACGGGTCTTCAGGTTCCCGCTTCGTCTATTGTAATTGTCACTGGCTGATTGTAGTTCAGCATCCCGTTTCCGTGTGATCTGATACATACGCTTTCAAAAGCACCCCCAAAGGTGCACATGCCAATAGGCAGAAACGACAGCATCTCTGGGAGGAAATCATGGAAGGCTGATGCTGTGATGTCTTTCTAGGGATGTTTCTATGGCTTGCTCCTCTGTCACTCAAGGGTATGAGATGCTATGTGTGCCAGATAAAAAGATCCAACATGATTAAGGCCTCGCCTGTACCAAACTAAAATGCGTTTCCATACTGCCCCCCCCTTTTTTTGTTTTACCCTCTTGCAACATCAATGTGTGTTTTTAAAGGTTAGAATGGCTAACAGACCCCATGGTTTTAGGACCTTCGTAGGCCACTACACAGAAGTCCAAAGGGAGTCGGGAACAACTTGTAGAAAGTGCTCTCGAGGTTCCCCGGTGGTCACTGCATCTCGCCAGGACCAGCAGGGTGAGGGAAAAGCCCAGCAACCAGAGAACAGCACAGTCAAGTTCAGCACTGCTTTCTGAGTCCACCATCTGGCCATGGCGGGGAGACTTTATGTTGAAGGAGGAAGCAAACGTTACATCCCGAACAAGAGATTAGATAATGTGTACGAAAGTTACTGCGGGTTTCTCCTCTTTATTTTCAACAAGGATCTAAAGTGTGGTGAAAACAAACCAAAAGAGAAAAAGCAATCCACTGAAAAACACAGAGGGAAGACCATGACATCGTAGGGGAGTGGCCGAGCAAAGTTTTCATCTACGATAAACTCACTGTTCGACTCTGGTCATAAAAAGTTTGCTGTGGTCAGGAAATGTCTTCTGCGTCCAAAGTGCCTGACAGGGGTGAGTCATTTCCTAGTCTATGGATAAAGAGTTCTTTAGTGGACTAGGGTTCATACTTTTTGAGTCCAGATTTATTCCTAAAGACTTAGCCTACTGTCCTATCTCAGATTCACCTGTAGACTTAAACTTGCTGCTCTCCTTCTATATCCTATTTAAAGATGCCACAGGGAGAAAGTCCGCTTTTTTCTTCTTCTTCTTTTAATTCAGAGCAATAGGAAAATGGGTGAAGAACATGTGTGTGTGTCTGTCTGTACTACTTATCTACATACTATAGACGTACAGAAAAGGTTCGTTCAAATTAAGATTATTAAAATCGAGCCTGGGAACACAATAACACCTTTTGCAGGCATGCATCCCCCCCACAGAAACGGAGGAAGAAGGATGGCGTGAGGGAGACACGCACATTCAGATGAGCCTTCAGGGATTACATGAACTTTTGAACCAGAGACGGAGAGCCAGAACCCAGCCTGTTCCCACTTTAATAAACATTTTTTTCTTCAATTAATTAAGGTTTGGGAAGAAAAAAAAACCCAACCACAGAAGAGAAGTAATTTAGCATGCAATGCATCCTTTACAGATGGATCCTACCTTCGGATGCTTATTAAATCTATGCATGATTGCGCTGGGGAAAATTAATTGCATTGTTTCTCGGTTCTCAAAAAGGGGCTGCAAACAGCTGAAAACAGAAAAGAAAATGAAGCAACGTTGTTGTTTGGAAGAGGCATACTTTCCAAGTTCTAAAACAAGTAACACCAAAACCAGCATAAAAGCATAGAAATATCTGTGTCTTATTATTTTGAGATTTTTAAAATACAGCCCGCATGATCAGTGCATGTCCATAGACATATGCTAAGTTCATGATATTCTGGTCTAACTAAAATTTCCTGCTCAGTGGCATTTGAACTATTTGATTAGGCAGGGGAGTTCTGTTCAAGTCCTATGGTGAGCAAAGAGTTACATGAACACCTACACGTGCATGCATGTGCGGTACCATGGTTGCCTGGTGTTTGCTCCATTCAAGTTTTTTGGGGAAAAAAACCCAATAACTTCCTGGTTGTATTTTGGAGAATACTATAAAATATCATCATAAAACATCCAGGATACAGGTAATCATTAGCATTGTGTTGACTTTAATTAAAAAAAATAAAAAGGCACAGTGGCTTGAAGTAACTCAAGTTACTTGAAGTAACTTTGCTTTCTGAAGGCTGCTGCTCTGTAGACCAGGCTGACCTCGAACTCACAGAAATCTGTCTGTCTCTGCCTGCCTCCTGAGTGCTGGGATTAAAGGCGTGCGCCACCACCGCCTGGCATGTTTTATATATATATATATATATATATATATATATATATATATATATATATATATATATATATATACACACACACACACATATATATATAATGATATGACCTACCCTTGCTGTTGACTGACTAAAAAACTTCACTTAAGAATTTTCAAACTTACCTGACTCCTGTCCCAAGTACAGCGCCATCTTTTTTTGTTTGCTTCCAGCACTGATAATTGAACCCAGGACCTTGTCCACCCGAGGCAAGCACACTGCCACTAAGCCATATCCTCAGGCCTTCCTGCATATTTTATTTTGAGACACGGTCTCACTAAGTTGCCTAGGCTAACCTTGAACTCTCTCTATAGTGCTTGTAGCTGACGCAGGCCTTGAATTTGTGATCCTTCAGCCCAGCCTCCTTCCTGAGTATCCGGTACTACAGGCCTGTGCAGCCAGGCCCAGCAAGATGGTGGTTTCATTCCTCTTCCTTCAAGTCTATAAATCAGTTTCACTAATCCTTGGTTAACATGTAAAGTTATTTTAAAGTATTTATCATGACACAAATTTTGCTAAGAGTAACAAACTGAGTTTATATAAGTAAATAAATCTGTCGGGTATTCAACAGATTCCATAAGATATGGGCTAAAAATATGGAGCGGTTAACACTGGGATTTATTTATGTCATGCCTTTCACTAGCATATCTCAAAGAACAATATAAATTACCTCTTAGTTATAGACACAGTCATTTCTCGTTAGAAATGGGCAAAAGCAAGATCAAATAGGGAGACGGGGGACATGAAACTTCTGTCACATTGTTAGACACTTAACGACCTCACTTGACCTCTTAGACTTATCTCCTATTTAGGACAACAACCAATGAAAAGTAGGTTTTCATCCATGATCAAAACCATATATAACTACTCAAAAAAAAAAAATTCTACTTCCAAGGGAAAACTCAAGTCATCAGAGCTGGTGTCTGTGCTCTTGGCTATCTGTAAGTGAGACATAAACATATCCAGTCTCAGGCTGGGGCGATAGTCCAGTGGATAAAATGCTTGATTCATGAGTGAAGGCTGGAATTAGGATCACTATAACCCACATAAATGCTGGGTAAGCGTAGTGGTTGCCTCTAATCCCGGTGCTTAAGAAGCAGGGGCGGGGGGGCTTTCCCAAAGCAAGCTGCCTCGATAGTCTAGTGGGAGCCAGCGAGCTCTAGATTCAGTGAAAGGTCCTGCTCAATAAACGAAGTGGAGAGCATTTGAGGAAGACAACCATGGTCAGCTTTGGGCCTCCATACATACAAGTGTGTGCGTGTGCACACACACACAATTGCAAACACATGTATGCCTACCCACCTGAGAACATGAATACAAACATGCACACACACCACACAGAAATGTACATGCAAGGAAAAGAGCACAGTCAGTTTTTTTCTTGGTTAATAAGAGCAGACACGCCGGGCGGTGGTGGCGCATGCCTTTAATCCCAGCACTCGGGAGGCAGAGCCAGGCAGATCTCTGTGAGTTCAAGGCCAGCCTGGGCTACCAAG